GACCACGGAAAATATCTGGACGAGAACAAGGCGCAAGTGAATTACGGATGGGTGTCAGAGGTGTCTGATGTCAGTGCTATGGAAAAAAGAGAGACTGGTTGATACATACGTAGATGGGTAAATAGAGTTTGGTAAGAGCATGATCAGGAGCAGCAGCGACTTAGTTCTGGAAGAGTGGTAGAGGATGACGAGGCGATCTAGGTAGGCAGTTTGTTAGGCTGGCATGGAGTCTGTGGTAACTGAACTGAAACTGACTCTTGCATCATTCATTCATTCATTCACTCATTCACTCATTCACTCAGTGTGCAACCCCGCGCCTGTCAGGCCTGTCAAAAGACTAGCACCTCTCGCCTGGCCGGGGTTGTTGACCTTGGCGTCTTTTTGCAACTCCACCCCCGCCTGCAGAGCTTGCTCCCGAGGCTACAGGGCCTGGCCTTGTCAGCCATTTCCCCAGCTAATTCCGCGCGCGGGGGTGTGTCTATCTGTCTGTCTGTGTCGTGTACAAGATAAAAGGGCGCGGCGTTACGAGTTGCCTTTGTTGACTTTCTTGATGTCCTTGTAGCTAGCTACCACATCTTTTTTTTTCCCCTGGAATACACCATGGCTGAACCACAGACGAGACTGTCAGCGGAGAAGCGTCCGGCGAGCCAGAACGAGGAGAGCCAGGATGAGCTCAAGGAAGACGCGCATCAAATTGCAGAACGAGGACACGCTGCCACCGATATGTAAGGCCATGCATTCCCATATCCTTGTGGAACCTTTCTTTCGACCATGGCTGACCCTTGCTACCTAGCTATGGAAACGCGTTGATCCACTTCGACCCCAAGGCTGAAGCCCGCCTGCGCCTGAAGATTGACCTGTACATCATCCCCACCGTTTTCCTCCTCTACCTGTAAGTCTTGGATATACGCAACCCTCAATCATCCTGCCTTCTCACACCTCTCCCAGCTTCTGCTTCATTGACAGAGCCAATATCGGAAATGCACGCCTGGCAGGTCTGGAGAGGGATCTCAACCTCACAGGCTATGACTACAATCAAGTCCTCTCCGTCTTCTACGTTTCCTACATCATTTTCGAAATTCCTTCAAACATGTGCTGCAAATGGATGGGCCCCGGATGGTTCATCCCCCTCATCTCGCTAGGATTCGGTGCAGCTTCAATCGCGACGGCTTTCGTTGACAACATCGCCCAAATGTGCGCTGTGCGTTTTGTCCTTGGCATTTTCGAAGCTGGCATGCTTCCAGGTGTTGCCTACTACCTCAGTCGCGTTCGTAGTCTCCTTTGTATACGACGGAAAAGAAAAGAGAAATCATACTGACGGATTACAGTGGTATCGTCGTTCCGAACTCGCGTTCCGCCTTTCACTCTACATTGTTGCAGCTCCTTTTGCGGGCGCTTTCGGTGGCCTCTTGGCCTCTGCAATCCTTACCATGGACTCGTTCGCCGGAGTCACGCGCTGGCGTATGATCTTCTGCCTCGAAGGGATCGTCACTTGCGGTCTCGCTCTCATCTCCTTCGCCACACTCACGGACCGGCCTGAGACTGCCCGTTGGCTATCTCAAGAGGAGAAGGACTTGGCTATTGCGCGCGTCAAGTCTGAGCGTATCGGCCAGGGCGCTGTGCTTGATAAGCTCGACAAGAAGAAGACGCTTCGTGGTATCTTCAACCCTGTCGTTCTCGCAACCTCTTTCATCTTCCTGCTGGACAACATCACAGTCCAAGGCCTGGCTTTCTTCCTGCCAACCATTGTTCGCACAATCTATCCCACGAGCAGCACGGTAGCCCAGCAATTGCGCACTGTACCACCGTACATTGTGGGAGCCTTCTTCACTCTCCTCCTGCCGTATATCAGTTGGCGAATTGACAAGCGAACCATTCTCATGATTGTCTCTGCTCCGTTGATGATGATTGGTTATATTAGTGAGTACACACACACACACGTACACGCTCCTCACTTCAGCTCCTAACTCCCTTTTCTAGTGTTTCTGGCTAGCAAAACACTCATGGTCCGCTATGGAGCCACCTTCATCATCGCCTCTGGCGCCTATTCATTCGGAGCTCTCTGCAACGCCCAGGCATCGGCAAACGTCATCTCCGACACCGCACGCGCCTCGGCCATTGGCACGGTTGTCATGTTTGGCAACGTGGGCGGTTTGGTCTCCACTTGGAGTTTCTTGCCGTTTGATGGGCCCGACTTTGTGATTGGCAATGGTCTGAACCTGGCTACTAGTAGCACGATTTTAATCTGCAGTGTTGCAGTCTTGCTCTGGATGAACATGAGCAACAGCAAGCGAGCAAACGTGAATGTGGACGAGGAGCTGGCAGGCAAGTCCAGTGAGGAGATTGAGGACCTTGACTGGAGACATCCATCTTTCAGGTGGAGGCCTTAGGATGTGAACGCAGGGACCAAGGTATATATATGCGTATAGAAGAGAATTTGGCGGCGACTACCGATCTTCGAGATAGAGTATCTTTAAGCATCCAAGCAAACCACGTTTTCGTGTCGTTCGATTGGTAGAAGTAGTTAATATTATCATCACACTTGGGTGGAGCGGCACCCGAGGTCATCGATAGCCCATGACGTTAACCATCTGATCTGGCTATGCGAGTCGACTGTGGTACCCTCCCCCTGGTCTGCCCCGCATCTCCGTCATTCCCCAAGGTACAAGCTCCATGACCTCGGCTCGTGTCCCCGGCGCGGCGTGTGCAATGGCATCATTCACTGAAGATTTCAGCTGTTAGTAAATTACAACTATCATCTTCGCCCATGAGTTTATAACTTCCATATAAATGCGTTGAAATATCTCCCTCCAAACTTTGTCATATGCACTGAACCCAAGGTCCATTGCCCCCTCATCATGCCTTTTGCAATCGCCATCAAGCAGATTGATGGCAAACCGGGTCAAGTATACTATCCACTCGAAAAGATCACACTGCCCGAGCCTCAGCCAAAAGAAAATGAAGTCAGTCTTACCCTTGCTTTTCTCCACATCCACATCTTCCCTCGATCTCTCAAATCGCCCCCCCTGCCCCCCCCCCCTCCCACACACATATACATCTCTCTAACCACCACCCAGGCCGTCATAACCCTCACCGCCGCCGCCCTCAACCACCGCGACCTCTTCATCCGCCAACACCTCTACCCAGGCACAACCTTCGGCGTCCCCCTCCTCGCCGACGGCGTCGGCACCGTCTCCACAACCGGCACCTCCCCCACCGCCCAATCCTGGCTCCACAAACGCGTCCTCCTCAATCCCGGCAGCGGCTGGACTTGCAGCCTCGAGGGCCCCGAACATCCAAACGGCTACGCCATCCTCGGTGGCACAAACGCATACCCAGCCGGCACCCTCGCCGACTACATCACCCTCGACACCGGCCACCTCGAACCCTGCCCGGACCATCTCAGCGATGCAGAGGCTGCGGCGCTGCCGCTTACGGGTCTGACGGCGTGGCGTGCGTTTTGGGTGAAGAGTGGGAATGCGCTGCCTGGGCGGAATATTCTGGTGACGGGGATAGGGGGCGGTGTGGCGCTCATGGTGTTGTTGTTTGCTGTGGCGCAGGGGTGTAATGTCTATGTGACGAGTGGGAGTCGGGATAAGATTGAGAGGGCGGTTGGGTTGGGGGCAAAGGGTGGGGTTGTGTACAAGGAGGAGGGGTGGGAGAAGAAGTTGCTGGGTTTACTTCCGGCGGAGAGGAGGTTTGTGGATGCTATTATTGATGGGGCGGGTGGGGATGTGGTTAGTAAGGGTTCGCGGTTGCTCAAGGTATGCATCTCTTCTTCCTCTTCCTTCCTCCTTTCCTTCCTCCCTTCTTTCCCTCCCCCTTTCCCCCCTCTCCCACAACCCCCCCAACTAACCCCCCTCTCAGCCCGGCGGCATCATCTCCATCTACGGCATGACCACCTCCCCCAAAATGGACTTCCTCATGTCCGCCGTCCTGCGCAACCTCGAAGTCCGGGGCTCCACCATGGGCTCACGCCAGGAATTCGCTCAAATGGTCCAGTTTGTGCGGGACAAGAAACTCCGGCCCATTGTCAGTCGCACCGTGCACGGCCTTGGGAACAA